ATGAAATTGAAAATATCATGACGTCTTTTAATTTATGCATGATATATTTTTTAAACACAGAAATTATGTAATTATGACAACATGACAATATTTATATATAAGCAAAATTGGAATAACCTTTACCTTTTTTACACTTTTTTTTTTCACTTCAAAAACTTCAAAATTTGACTGTTCTTTTTTCTCTAAGTAATTTTATTTTTGCTATGAACCCGATATTGATTGTTAACAAAACATGGACTTAAACTTATTACTCAATACAAATATATCGAATGAAGCAAACAAATTACCTGAATATGTTGTAGATAAACTTCTAGCAAATTACAATTACCTTGTTATTAAAATTCAATGACTTCCAGACTATATCACAGCTGAAGGATTTTTGGTTAATCAATTTGAAGCAAATCTTTTAGTAAACGTTAACAGTGTTGAAGATGCACAGAAATAGCTTGTTGATTTTGAAGAAACATCAAAAACAACAATGCCTCAAACCAAAAGCTATCAAATTAAAGATTAAAGAGTTATTTTTAGACAATTGCAGCACTGTATTCACAGCAATATAGTTAAACAAAAACACGGTGTCCTATTTTAAAAAATCCTAATTCATTACATGTTAGGAATACTAAATGTATAGCTTTTATTCATCTTCGGATTGAGCAAAAAAACCTTCAAACAGATTATCCACTTGAAGTGAACATTAAATATATACACAATCACGTAGTTCATTCTGCAAAAGCCCTTAGCTTTAGACATGTTAAAGATGAAGTTCGCAATACATACATTGAATTTTTTAAAAATGGACATTCACTAGCCACTGCCTGATTTGAATATGAAGATAACCTTCATTTACATGCAAGTGATGATCAAGAACTTATACAATGGTTAGCAGATCATGCAAGAAATCCTGATCATAATTATATTTCGGATTTGTTTAAACAATTTCGTAGAAGTTGTTTGGGAAAAAAAAATGGTAAACCTATTGTTTAACGACTTAAAGAGGAAGTCAATTACTATAATATTTCTGGCAAAGGTCGTGCTATTCTTCAAGAATATGACTCTCGGTTGAATAAAGCTTTCATTTTATGTATTGTTACAAATTTAATAGTTCGAGTGCATGAAAAATTAAACAATCAGGAGAAATTTGTTATGTAGATGCTTTGACATCATTTGAACCATTAAACACACCAATTACTTTATTCTACACAAGCTAAATTGCAGGGGCATTGCCTCCTGGCATTATTATTACATCAGATGAACTAGAAATAACCCTTGAAAAGGGAATAATTATGCTAAAGTCACTTCTTCCACAATATGTGTTTTTCGGTGGTGGGCCTGATATTGGTCCAATAGCTTTTCTTACAGACGATTCAAATTCTGAACATAATGCATTAGGGTATTGCTAGCCAAATTCAACTTGACTATTATGTGTGTTCCATGCTCTTCAAGCCTTTTGGCATTGGTTACATAACTCAAAACATAATATAAATACAGTTCATAAAATGCCTATAATGAATATCATGAAAAAGATATTATATTCACACACTGAAGTTGAAATGTTAAAATATTATAATGAACTAAAAACTTACTATAATACCTATTCACAATTACAAAGACACTTTGAATGACTTTGGAACCGACGACGATTCTGGGCAGTATTTTTTTGCTTTGAACTTCCCTTGCAGGGTAATAATACCAATAATTATATAGAGTGTAGTTTCAGATTGTTAAAAGATATTATCTTCTCACGTACCCAAGCATATAATAGTGTTCAAGTGTTTAAATTTATGGTTACAAGTATGGAGCACTATTCGAACTGACTACTTGGAATAGCCCACTCACATCCCGGCCATATTAGAATTGCTAAAAGATTTTTATGTCCTGGTTGGAATGCATTGATGCAATGGAAATTCAACCAATTAAAATAAGTACAGAGTACTTAGTTCCAAGTCAAAAAAAAGGAACTGAATTCTTTTATATTGTTAATACAGAATTCTGTACATGTACATGCTTCGTTGGGCTTTCTGGGGCACCATGTAAACATCAGGGTGTGGTGGCTACAAAATATAATATAGAATCTATAAACTTTTTTCTATCTTTATCACCCAATGATCATGCTTGTTTTGCATATATTGCATGTGGTAAGTGTAATAATTAATTTAATTTAATTTAGAAATATTTTTGGATTAATATTTTATTATAAATATTATAATTAAGAAATCATGGCGAATAGTTCTTTTTACGCATCGTTACATGCTCACAAGAATAATAACTATGAAGAATTAAATACAAATGAAATGTTAGTAACTAATATGAATATAAATCAAATTGAAACTGATGCGGATATGGATATGAATATGAATGTGAATTTAGATGCAAGTGCGGATGTGGATGCGAATATAGACGTAACAACTGATGCATAGATTTTTTTTTTTGAGTTTTATATAATTTTTAGATTTGTGATTAGAGAATTATCTAAATAAAATTTTTTTAATAAAGATATAATCATGAAAATTTAAATATGAATGTGGATGTGGCTACAGATATAAATAGGTATGCAATGGATGCAAATACGAATGCAAATACGAATGTGAACACAGCAAATGATATGTAGGTTTTTTTTTTAGAGTTTATACAAGTATCTTAGACTTGTGATTAGAGAATTATCTATATAACCCTTTTTTTTATTTAATAAAGGTATAATTATGTGAATATGGATATGAATACAAGTGTGAATATAGATACGAGTGTAGATGTAAATATGAATCTAGATATGAATGCAGATGTGAATGTGAATATAGATGCAAATGTGAATGCGGATATAGGTACAAATGCAGCAACTGATATATTGGTTTTTTCTTATGAGTTTTTTAAAGTATTTTTAGATTTGTGATAAAAGAATTGTCTATAACTCTTTTTTTATTTAATAAAGATATAATCTGGAGTTCTTTGATACATTTCTTAAAACGATGAAAGATGATTATGAATATTGTGGACCACAACTTCAAGCAGCCCTTGAGAAGTTGGCTGAGAGATACAATGCAGCAAAAACTAAGTCTATCCCAGCATTAAAATCCTTTCTCTATAATGTGAATCATAATTCAGACCCACTTGTACATGTAAAGAGTGGTGCAAAAATTCGTGTACAGGTTGAATCAGTCAAGCGTAGAAAAACCAAGTCAGGTGTTAATAAGTCTGGTAGTAAAGAAAACTATAATCCACACGTTATTCCAGCATGCAAAGTTAGGGCAATTGGTAAAAAAAAGTATGATCTTAGCAAACATTAATGAAAATAATTTGAATTAATAACATGTTGTGTTGAAAGTATCAAATAAAATTTTTATATAATAACGATCACAAGGTAAATGCAATTTGCTGATTAATTTTAGACCAAAATGAATATATAAATTACTTATGTATAATGATCTTAATTAAAGACAAAATTTATATTCAAACACTAAAATAAATATTTGAAAATAGCATATTTTGTACAATCTACAATAAAATTCTAAAGGACATAGTTTATTCTTAAGTTTACTACAACTAAGCGTAAATTATAATCTTCTTATATAGATGGTGATGAATTATTGTACGCTTCAATGAGCATACAATATCCTTTTGTAATTAATAATGATCTCTTAAAATTTAAAATAATTTGAGCATTTTTAATTTGTAATTATAGTAATTTCGTAACATGTATCGTATCATATCCAATGTTTCGATCAATAATAAAGCTATATACAACTATTTTCAGATTAAATAAAGACAAATTGAAAAGGCCCTTTATTTCTTATGTGCACTTGATGCCATTCTTATATAAAAATATTTAAATTAATGCTTATTACAGTATTTATTTAAATATATTTATTGTTATGTAGAAATTGGGTGACAGAAGCACTTATTGCATAATAATAAAAAAATAAAAATAGATTCATAAACTTTATACAGTATATAATGCTTTGACACGTGAATATAACAGATATTTGAACCGCACGTATGGATTCTATGTCGCAGATCCTATTAATAAATTTAAATTTTCTAGTGATACTTATTCAATAACTACATGATCAAATTTGGGAAAAGTTTTTTATTTTAATTCTATATCACTGTAGAATTAAAATAAAAAAAAATTAATCAAATTTGAATGGCAGGTTGTCAAGAAATATTCATTAAAAATTAAAAAAAAAAATAGCTACAGCTTCTTTTCTTTAAACATCTGAACTTTGAACAAAGATTACTCAACACTTACCTAATTAAACTTGATCAATTTTTTTTATTTTAATTCTATGAGCTTTAGAATCAAAATAAAAAAAAAATTGATCGAGTTTAATCAGGTAAGTGTTGAGTAATCTTCGTTCAAAGTTCAGATGTTTTAAGAAAAGAAGCTATGGCCATTTTTTTTTTAATTTTTAATGAATATTTCCTGACAACTTGCTATTCAAATTCGATTAATTTTTTTATTTATTTTAATTCTACATATATATAAAATTAAAATAAAAAAAAATTTACTAAATCTGATTATGTAGTTATTGAATATGTATCGCTAGAAGATTTAAAAAATAGTTAAATTTATTAATAAAATTTATACGTGCTATAGTATATGCAAGTTAGAAAAGGTTCTACCCGAATTATGCATCTTGTGTACCCGATGTGATCAATGATCAGCAGTGATCAGCATAACCTGACACAGAATTCATATGTGCTATAGTATGACATATAGCCCAATTTACTATATTTAAAGATTATCAAATACACAAGGACAAATTAGACAATATTATTGAACAATCCTTATACAAAAATTAATCTTCAAAAGGAGTACAAAAAAATTTTATTGTATTCATATTACTGTAATATAGTAGATAGAGTGTATAGCAGTGCATGGCTATGTATTCAAATCTCACTAGTAGCTTATTATACAGTACTCAGGCATTGCAATGACAGTACTGATTATAGTTGTACTTTTTTATTTTTAATTTTTATATTTATTATTAATATTTTTATTTTACTTTATTATTAGTTATTTATTTATTTAGTCTATTTATTTTCTTATTAGTAAACTACTTATTTAATTCTTAAATTTTGTGGATCAAAATTTTCAAAAGAAAGAGTAGTGTTATATTAGTGATATATTAGTATTTTTTAAATTTCTATTAAGTAACTTTGTATAACTTCTAATTGTAGTACAAATCTGATTGCACTAATAAAATTCTTGATATCAATTTCCTTAGTATAGTTTTTACTATTTGTTAATTGGGTTAATAGTTAGCAAGTTATTAAGATTTAAAGATATATAACTATAGAAAATAACAATCTGTCATCTCTGTGACACAGAACCTGTTGGTATAGACCTATTGATACAGACCCATTAACACAGACCCGTTGGTACAGACCTGTTGATATAGACCTATTAGCACAGATACAAACCCATTGACACAAAATATTATTTATTTTTATATGAAGTTTTAAAAGATATAAAAACTGTCTTTTTGTTTAAGGCAGAATAGATTTTTTTAACTTTTTCTCTATTAAATAAATAATATACCTTTGACCATATACCTACTACCATGTATATGCTCTTTTTATTGTATTTTTATAGTGATTTTATAGTGTTTTTCTAAGTTTTTCTTGAGTTTTTATTCTATTTTTATTGTATTTTCCCAGGGTTTTTCTTCCTGTTTCCTATATTTTATATCCTATATTCTGAGTTATCTTTGAGCTTATATTTCTTGAGTTTATTCCTTTTGAGTTATATCTGAGTTTTATTTTGAGTTTTACCTTTTGTATACACATATCCTTACTCTCTTCATATTAAGTCAAGTGATATAGTTAGCAAGACCAGTTATTTATACTACAATAGTATCAAATAAAAAAGTTAAATCATACAGTATATTGAAGTAATTTCTTTTTCTAGTTGAAAATTGAAATTCTCCCGTCACGAGATGACCCCCAAACTCTTCGCATCGGAGAAGTGGAACAACCTATAGCAAAAGATTCAAATCCTCTCTTAGTTCCTGATGTGGTATTTCATGAGAATCCAAAACAGACCGAAATACTAATGCAAATGCTACAAGATTATCAATTGGGTATTTTTAATGATCTTTAATTTATTATAGTTGCAATTTTAACTTTCATTTTAAAATTTCTGATTTAATTTTTCGTACTGTTCAGGTGAACATTTGTTGCTTATTGGAAATCAAGGTGTAGGAAAAAATAAATTGGCCGATTATTTTTTACAATTGCTAAAGTTACCAAGGGAATATATACAGTTACACCGGTGTGTGTCACGGATTGTTTTTAAAAAAATTAATTTCGCATATAAAAATTTATACTTTCAGAATTTAAGCATTTTAATTATTCTCTTAAATATTATAAAAATATTATTCTAGTGACACGACCGTGCAAAGTTTAACTGCTATACCTTCAATTATTAATGGCGTCTTGCAATTTGAAGATTCACCACTAGGTAATTGATTTAATTAGTTGTGTAAGAATAATTTACAAGATCTTTAGTGGTATAATTATTAATATTATATTTTTATTTTAGTCAAAGCTGTAAAGAATGGTGTGTTGTCCCTCCTTTTTCATGTGGGTTTGAATCGAAATATTTTCTAATATAATGAGATTATAATTATGAATATTTAGGCCATGTATTAGTTGTGGATGAAGCAGATAAGGCTCCTACATATGTTACAGCAATACTTAGAAATCTTCTTGAAGATGGTCAGATGGTTTTAGGGGATGGACGGAGAATAGTCTCATCTCTTACGTCAAAAACTTCTAAAGAAGACTGCATCGTAATTCATAAGAATTTTAGAATGATTGTTTTAGCAAATAGACCCGGTGAGAATTGCAAAATTTCAAGGATATAATTGTGCTCGAATATAAATATTTGTAATAAACTAAATAATAATTTTTTTTTTTTTAGGATTCCCATTTCTTGGTTAGTGATGTCATCAGAAAACTTTCAGCAGTATCATTAACTTAACATGAAATATTATATATCTGAATGTGTTTTCCATATATTAATTTAGGGAATGATTTTTATAGAGAGATTGGTGATATTTTTAGTTGGTAACAAATTGTTGTTTTCCTTCGATAATATTTACCGTCGCTCCTATGTTAACGTCTGTTCCTTTTTTTTTTTAAAAAAAAAAAGTCACACTGTTGATAATTCTGATCCGGACTCTGAAATGTTTCTACTACGCAATTATGCCCCTTCCGTCTCCAATGATCTTTTACTAAAACTCACAGCTGCATTTAATGATCTTAGAAAACTCGTAGATGAAGGGTTGATTTCCTATCCTTATTCTACAAGAGAGTTGGTGAACATTGTTAAACACATGCAAGTAGGTTATCATAGTCTAGTCCTAATTTAATAGATCTATATAATAATATATATGTATTGGGTTATTTTGTACCCGATGTAATTAGTAAAATAGTAACATTATTCTCAAATGGATTCATAATTATGTAGCGATATCCAAATGAGGGTGTTTCATATATTTTGCAAAATATCCTTGACTTTGATCAATATGATAAGGTTTCTAAAGATCTTTTGATAGCAGTTTTTCAGAAGCATGGATTTCCAATTGGATTAGAGTCTGATTATACAATTAGGTTGGGAAAGAAAGTTCCATTGATTGGACCAATAATCACTGAAGTCTGGACAAAATCAAATTTAGAAAGAAATATATGTGAAGTGAGGAAATTTACAATGAAATTTAGAGTAAGTTAATGAATTTAAAAGTACTATGATATCTACAATGTTTCTATCTTATATTTATTATTTATTAACTTAGGGCTTGTGGAAACTTCATATGAGCGAAGCTAAAGAATTGGACCGAGCTGAAGGCAAGTTACTAAATTTATGATAAATTTCATACTATATTATTCCATTTACCATGGTTTTGTATACATAAAAGGCCGTATTCATGCTTTTACGGAACAAATATACACTTTCCGGATATTAACACACGGTGAAGCACTTGATATAGTAGGCCTTGATGACGGTTCATTATTTGTGGTGACGACAAATCCTATAACATTACATGCAATTTGTCAAAATCACCAAAAAGTCAGAAGTGTCGACTTGCACGAATACTTTCCTTTACTAAAAAGTATATATTGTATAAACAAATGGGGTGCCAGTAGAAACCAAGCAAATTGTTTTTAGTGAGTTTTTTTAAAATTTTAAATCAAAATATCTCAACAACTATTAAATCAAACTTGATAAATTTTTTTTTATTTTAATTCTATAATTACATAAAATTAAAATAAAAAAAAAATTATTAAGTTTGGTTTGATAGTTGTTAAGATATTTTATTTTAAAGTTTTAAAAAAATTTACTTAGAAACAAATTGCTTGGTTTCTACTGGCACCCCCAAATATTCATTCGTATAAGTGTTGTTTTTCATGAAATTAAGCTGAATTAATGTTTTTCTTAAAAAAAAACAAATGTTTTAAACATTCTCTAGCCTCTTCAACCCTAAAAATGGCTATTGTACAAGAAAGAGATGGATCTTGGCTATTGATACTTCATAGCTCTTCTGATAATTCCATACTTTCAATCGATTTTTCGAAAAATTCTATAACTGCATTTACGGTATTCTTACTACTAATTATTTTTCTTTCATAATTCACAATTTATGAGTGCGCATAGTAAATCGACCCATAATCTTTTTTATGCATTTAAATAGTTAACTTCGAGCCCAGAAGAAACAATTATGTTGAAAGATTTTGAAGCCATTGGAATCTTAGGTATGCTTTGGTCAAAAAGCAATTTATTTCAAATAACTAGCAAAATAATGCAACTTATAAAAAAACAATTATAAATTTCAGTTTTTTATCAAAAAGGAAGATCATCCATCATGATACTTGACTTTAATGCAAATACATCACATACAATTGAAACATCCAAAAAAAGCAAGTCCTTTTTTTTTTTTTTTTTTGTATAATTAATTTTTTCTTCTGATACTTACTATAAATTTAATTATTTAGTTGCTCAATTATACTTGGCCAAACCTGATGTATGGCTTTTTAGAGACTTCTTAGATAAGCATTATCTTATTTATGCACAGTCGGATAATAACTTTGAAAGTTTGTAAGTATTATTGACTCACTGTTGATCACTGCTTATAGTACTCAGATCTTATTCAAGAACTCCTGAATACTATTCACGAACCCAGCGATTCATTGGTGTCAAGATAATATTTGGAGGAAGTGCTGTAAGCAGTGACCAGTGGTATTTGTTACAAAATATTAATACGATTATTGAATTTATTAGGATTCCCAATGTCGTTGAACGTTTTGATGTTAAAGGATTATTAAAATCTATTCCGACAGAAATTACATATCTCTCTCAAGAAGGTGTTGCACAAGCTAATGTGTATGTTTAAACAAATATTTTAGTTTGTATGAATTATCAAATTATTCAAATTATTTCATTTTATTAGGCTGTCTGCACGTTTTCTTCAAACGAATAATGATTCAATAGCAGCTTCCGTTATTTCAAATTTACCGGAGGCTTTAATTAGTAATATGGGTGATGTTGAAATTTTGTCATATATGAGAGACGCGAATGATGATGGAAACCATGAAAATTTTTACAAAAATTTTAAGAATGTTTCAATATATCTGACTAAATCTGGCCAATTGGCAACAGTAATTCCATCAAAAGTATGGTTAAAAGTGGCATTATATTGTATTCTCAATTTCAAGCTTTTGCCTTTTAGTTTTGACTTTGTCATAAATTATAGGATGGTAGAGGTACTGGATATTTAGAACTGTTTAATCCTATCCAAAAAGTATTATGGAGAATCGTTCTTCCACTGGCCATTCCTGGCATTGACAAAACGTAAGTTTCTCATTTTTTATGTATTTAAGACTTATATAAGAAGCATTCTTAAAGCTGTATTATTTTGTAGTAATCCAATACTTTCAGCAACGGGTCATCAATACATACAAGGTGATAGGATGGCGACATCTTTGTTGGAATTACCTAACGGTGATTTATTAACAATGGATAATAGTGGTAAGAGTGCTTGTCATTTTTTAATTACAGTTTATCAATATGTATGAAATTAATTATCTTATATACTGTAGGTGTTGTAAGAATATGGCAAGTTGATGCAGGTGAATTAGTAAAAGCAGCTAATGCATGGAAAAAGTTGGTTGGCAATATTGATAAACGTATATTATCTATTATATATGATGATCCTGAGGTTTGCATCAATGGAGTATTTGACATTTATTCTAGAATATGAACTTAAGGACTAATTACATAAAAATTAGGGTAATATTACTGAATTCACATCAGAGGATGAGGCTTCTATTAGCGTGATGGATTCTATCAATGGTGCATCTGGTAGCGGATCTGGATCTGGATCTGGTGATGGATCTGGACCAGGTGATGGTAATGATGATGGTGAAGGTATTGGAGGAGATAGTGGTGATCCAATGAATTCTAAAGGAAGACAGCAAACCTTTGTAGATGTCGAGAATTTGGAGCTTGTAAGTGTACTTAATGAAGAGTTAAATATTTTTATATTACTTGCCCTATTAAACTAACATATGCTCATTCAGAGAGCTGAAGCTAAGCAACCGGTTGAACTTACCGACGCTCAAATGTTTGTATTTCAATAACTGCTTCTATTTTATGAATAAAATAACATACTTTTGTATATTTTCAGGGAATTGCATAAATTGGTAATGCAAAAACGACTTGAACAAATCAACATGACTCACGAAGATTTTGAGTTATATCGTTCATATAAAGCCGATGTTCAACGTCAAATTCGAGAACTCCATATAATATTGGAAAGTATTGAAGCTAAAGATAAAGAACGTATATGGTTAAAAAATCAAAGTTCCGGAGATGTAGATGATACCAAATTGTAAAATCCACAATACTTTATTAACTCATGATTTAAATATAGTTTTTAGTCTAAATATCTAAATTTCACTCAAAATTTTAGAATTGAAGGATTAACTGGCGATGTAAATATTTATAAACGTCGCGGTGAGAATGATCCTGAGAGTGGGTTTTATCAAGCTCATCCTAAGAAGATATATTTTGTTTTCGATTTAAGTGCCAGGTTAGTTTATCTCATAACGTTACATTTTAATGTTTATGTAATTAGTTACTGCTACTTAGAAAAATGAATTTTAGTATGTATCGATTCAATTCTCACGATCGTCGATTAGATCGTTCTATGGAAGTTGCTCTTAGTAAGTCCAATTTTATATGGTTTTCTCATTCAGATTGACGAATAAAAGAAATATGTAAATAATATATATTATGTTTAGTGATTATGGAGTCATTTAAATCTTTTGAACATAAATTCCAATATCAAATTTTTGGACATAGCGGAGATTCACCTAATATTGAATTCGTAAAAAAGGGGGAATATCCACGCACCGAAAAGGAGACATTTAAAGTTTTGAGTAGAATGCATGCTCATTCACAGTTTTGCCTTAGTGGAGGTACATGATGAGTTCCTTTACAAATATTCTGTCAAATTATGCACAAATCGTCTTAATATGTTTCATGAAATACCTTTATATAGATAATACACTGAGTGCAGTGACACATGCTATTAAAGATATTACAAAAGAAATAGCAGATGATTATTTTGTTATTGTGCTTTCTGATGCTAATATTCAACAATATAAAATTAATCCGGAGGATATTGCGAAAGGTATTATTATTAAATAACAAATTTCAAGTAATTATATATATATGTGGTATTACAATTCATTCTGTAACATTTATGATAGCGTTGAAAGAAGACGAGAGAGTAAACTCTTTCATAATATTTATTGGATCTTTACAAGATCAAGCTGAAAAGTAAGTAGAAATAACTATTTTATTTTATTTTTCATAATTTCAAGCTATAACTTAAATTTTTTTTTTAAAGACTAAAGAAAAGTCTTGGTAGCCACGCGCATATTTGTTTGGATAACAAGGATTTACCGCAAATTATGAAATCTATTTTCTTGGCCTCGATGTTAAAAGTTTAATAAATATATTTTTGATAATTGAGTTGTATGTTTTAAAAAGTTGTTGATCAAAAATTTAAAGACTTTTACAGATTTACGGACTTCTTCCTTTGATAAAATGGACGATTCATATTGAACGCGAATCCTTTCCTCCTTAATATTAAATGGTTAATCTTTTATTATCCCCTTGAGTATGCTTGGTGATTGATTTGTGGACTCTTTTCATAAAGTCCTCAAGTTATTTAATGTTATTAATTTTATTATACCAACTTTTTATTCTTATTTGTTTTGTACTTTTGTACTTTTACATTTAATAAATCTAATAAACCTGTGGGTTTGTTTTCTGTGAAAATAATTGGTAATTGATTTTATAGTATTATAAAAATATTTTTTAATCTTTTTTTTTTAAATTAAAAAAACTTCAATTTCATAAAATATTAAATACATAATTACTCGTATAACCGCGAATAACGCCCCTGTGTGTTATTTCGTGGCTATACGGTAAATAACAACTTCAAAGTTTTTAGTATATTGTGTGTTGATCATTAAACAAATTGCTTTATTACAGAAAAAATTAAAACCATGCTTGAAGAAAAGCATCCCTAAGTGAGCGTGCGCATTTTAATCTTGGTTATACTGTTATTCGTCCAGAGAAGTTCGCTTTTATCCAAGAAGGCCAAAGTTATTCGTTATGATTGGACGTCCGAATCTCGAATATTTGAAAGGTATTTTTTCATATAACGTAATTTGTTGCAATAATGGAATCATTTATCTTATTCTATCATAAAATTGAACCACTAAGTCGGCAGGATTGTAACCGAGATTTCTTGAACCCAACTGTTGGATAGTGTTTTGTTTTATTTTGCGTTGTCTTTCATAGATTTTCCTCCGTTGCTAAGTTATTTTGTGGAATATTCTGATGTTTCGGACCAAATGACGCTTAAGACGCGTCCAATTATGAGAGCAATGCCTACAATTAGCGCCATAATGTCAATCCACTAAATATTGACATGATCCCAAACTTACTTAGGCTCACTGCGTCGTTTTTTTTTTTGATAAATTGAAGTGAAACATCTTCAGACTAATTCTTACTGTATATTAAACACCGCCATTGATTTGATTCGATGTATATTCGCAATTTTGAGAAATAAAAGGCATGTTATTGGTGGGTTCAGATAATAAAGAGTATGATTCTCCAAAAAATTTTTTATAATGCTTACGTATTAAAATTACAGAGTTACGCAGCTAATTAAAATTACTGGTTGAGCGTCGTAAAATTCATTGGGACGAATCTATCGCATCACTAATCATGACTCTAAAGTTAATTATTGGTGCCATCATTAGTAAGTACTATTCTTTAGTAATATTCGTTATTGCCATTATTTTAACTTTAAAATTTATTGATCAATATTCTAGATAATACAATTGTTTAATCTTTTAGTTAATATGCACCAGTTATCCGCGTCAACAGTGTTATTTGATTCAAATCTTTCGTTCATTGAACATTTAAAGCCACCTTCCCAAAAAATATTTTCGATACATAACGCCAATTGCGCATTTTACTAAATCTACTAAATTTTAACTCAATTCTGACCATTTTTTTTGTATGATGATTTTATTCTATAATGTTCATAGTCATACCCGTATATATTTTTCTTTACTTGAGTACATTTAAAAAATAATTATTCAAATGCCATAATTTATAGTTGTTAGACGAAATCTGTTTCCAAAATGGCGAAAAAAGAAATCCAAGCCCAAAAAGGACGTAAGATGAAACTCCCTGACAAAAACCACAACGTGTCATATAAGGTTGTATAAGCAGAAAATCATGTAGCAGAAACGAGAACTTTTGTCTTTCATCACGCTTCGGACAATTAAAAGATAAATACTTTCAAGTTTACCTGGAACAATATAACGCACTACACCAGCTGTAGAGATTGGATTTAAATCTAAAAAACTTGGGCTCATATATTGGAATTATAAATAAAATTTGAATCATTCATTTTTTTTTTTTTGACCGGGAAATTTGAATTTAAATTCGAATTTAAATATAAAAATCTCAAATTTGGAAATTACTGTATAATCCAACCTGGAGTCGAATATACTTATTAATCGAAATGTTACTGGTAAAGTAGTAAAGCTTTGTAAGTTTAATTGATGTGAATAATACCAGAAAATTTATTGCTTAAATATTTTGGTATATTTAATTGAATTATCGGATAACGTTATAACGAAATTTACATTTTTATGTTTAAATAATATTTACGCGCTCTATTATAATAAATTGACTTGAATAAGAGTTGTAATTTAGTAAGTTAACATTCTATGGTGAACCGATAGTCTAGAAGAAAAAGCTAAACTAATAAAACTAATATAAAATTTAAATAATACCCAGAATGAGAGCTCACTACATTTCGCTATTTTGAGTTTTAAAGATTGAAAAAAGAAACTGTAGTACAACTATATCAACCAAGATCACTAAAAGCGCTCAGATGTTATCTTTTGTAGTAATATTCTAATCTAAATACAATAAATTAATTGATATAAATAGATATATATTATTTAATAGTAATCTATATAAATACTGAATTTAAATATGCCTTCGAATTGCTTAACAGGTTATCTTTAAGAGTTCAAAGGATCTTTGCATTTATTCATTTACCAAGTAAAAAAAAATAAAAATTGGTTTAATATCCCGAGAAACAGAATCCTGACAAAAATTGACCAGAATCATAGCCAACGCTAACCTAATACGGGCTAATCTGTCAGGATTTGACCTTGCTGAAATTTTGTTTGTCAGGATTTGACTCAGACCCGTTATTTATTAACATGACACAGCTTTATTCGAATAAACGTGAATGCATAACACAAAATAATGATAAACGAAATATATAATCATAGTGTAAGTGTTCCACATAGCTTTTATTTACTCGATTAATAAATATGCAATTTTTACACATCTTTTGAATGAAATTACGTAATATTTATAAAACTTTAATTACTGTAAATTTAAGAAGTCAAATAAACAGTGAGATTTATGACAGTGTCCACAATATAGTGGGCTTTTATCTGCATAAACGTACTTTACAACTTTTGATGGTTAATTTTTAAAAAATTGGCCTACTAATATATTTAGAAATGTTGAAATATACGTACGTATTAATTATTAAAAGTGCGTATAAGAAGCACATAGCGCAGAGGAGCTGTCAACCACCGTATAGCGTGGTATAAAGACCCAGAGTACTTTACAAGTTAGTCTGCATATGTAGGTATTATAGTCAGAGAAGTACTATAGTTAGCGTAGGAGATATAAGCTGCACTATATAAGTATCACCGAGAGAAAACCTATCATTGAACTTTCAATAATAACTGTCGCTTTAATATACATTCTATGCCTCTAAAAATTGTGAGGATATTATACTAGGGGGTCTTTTTGACTACGCTATACGGGTAGTCAACAAGCATTCATGTGAGCAACTAATCATTCAACAAATAACTGACTATTATAGTAGAAATATACAGTATAATAAGTCTTCAATTTATTGAATTTGGGCCATTGCCTTTAGATCTTATTTTAAACTACATGTTTGATTTTAAAAATAAAATTTGTGGATTCAAATTTGATTTAAAACCTAACTATTAATGTAGTAATTGTTTAGCTGGACCAATTTTAACATTCAGGATTAATTGCCTTTACAATTATTAGAAGCACAGGGGATATTTACTTAGTAGAAAAATACTGATCTTAGGAAAAAGCACCATATTTTAAGACATGGTAATCTATATAAGACAGTAATTATTTACCAATTCCTAACTGGATTACTGATTAACTACAAAATTATATATTTTAACAAATTATAAATTACACTCCATTTACTATTCTGCTATATCAAAAAAGATGATATAAATACATATTTATACAGTATAGATCAAATATTAACCGTCACATTACATGGAAAATTTCGTCAACACGAGTTTTATATTGTGTAATTATTAAAATAGAAAGCGTTTTTTAGTAGTGAGATATGAACTGACTTCTTTCTTTTTCTCCTGCACAAATTAATTTCATTGATACTGTATTTGTGATCGTAATCCATAGAAATAAACCGTTATTTAAAAATCTTCGTCTTTTCCCATACTGAGGTCATTAAGAATTTACCGAGGTCCTTAGAAAAATATAGAAGAATATGAAAAATGACTAAAAAAAGGAAAGTAGGTTTCTTCTTTTGACACGATATATTTACTCAGAAAAAAGACGATCTATTTTATTTCTTTTCCTGCTTTCCTGAACTGAATCATAGATGTTTTAACGCCTTTATATGCAAGTTTTCTATTCTACCTTTAAATAGAAGTAAGTCCATAATAACTTTACTATGGAATAATAGCAAAAATAAATTCTCAACTTATCTTGTAATCCCTTAGGACATACCGTATCATGTGACAAAAAATGAAAGTGTAAGAATTTCTATTCCATGACGCGATATACGGTTATTAAAGTTCTACACTGGTGTCTCATGTAAAATACAATTGTTTCAAGTGAAAGAAAAATTCTTCCCGATCCAATATAAGGTAAAATTTTAATGAAACACGAACTCTGATAGTAAAAAATCGCTGCGGATTGTATTTCGTTATATTGTTCGTTAACTAACAGGAATACAGCTCTCATTTTTTGTATTTAGATATCATATTATTTGTTGTTTAGGATGAGCTTAAAAAAAAAGATGGTTAATTTACTCA